GAGGGTGATGGATGAATTTAATACCTGAGATAAGTGTACGGGTTTTTATAGGCGCAGTCTTGAAACTTTCCGATCGCACCTCGTAGTCACAGGTCTTATATTTCTTCGTTGTCAATACATCCTGATTAAATTCCTGGCTTCTTGTTTTCACGCTGAACGGGGTTCAACGTCGTGACCCCAGGATGCTTATCACACCCAGATGGCATCAATAAATGCTCTTAAGTAGTTCAAAGTTTCTTACGTGTGAGACCATGTATTGACTGCTGGTGGTAGAAACTGGAGTCAGTCACATTTGATGGTCCGGGCACTGGCTCTGGAAGTTTAAGGCGTTTCAGGACATCTTCCTCGCTGTCAGAACTTGTCTCTGGCTCTTCATAAGAGTATGCCTTTCCTGCAACAGCACCAGGGATTGTATACGTAACACTTTCATGTAAATGTCGTATCTCTTAAAGACATGTGCACTCTCGTGGGAACCTACAGCTTTATAAAAATTAAACAGGGTACCCCAGTGGAAATCTTTTGTTTTAAGAATAAGCGAGAGAAACCAATGGAAAATTTTGGCTTCTTTAGAAATAAATAGGAGACACAGGTGGAAGCCTTCAGCTCTGCAGAAATAACACACAGTCTAACTGGGTTTCACACTCGTCGCACTCTGCTAAAATGTTGTCCAATTCCACTATAGAAATGGTCGTCCAAGTCTTGCGTATGATAAAAAGCTTGCTACCAGCCACGAATCTTCTGGAACACCAAGTTCAGACTCAACTGAACGCACGTGTTTGGTTAAAAGAAATGTCAGTGTATTAATACAACTGGAGATACATGACAGTGGCAGGGTTACATATTTTTAAAAAAAAAAAAAAAAATTGAACTTTATACGCCGTTAAATGTTTCGTAGCCATTTGAACTGTGATGATACTTAATAACTACATCATCTGACTGTACACTGTCTTTAAGTATTGTTCATAATAACCAGAACACAGGACGAAAGTATACGAGATGTTAGAAATACTTCAAAATATTTAAAGTTAAGCAAATGGAAATTAGAATATTAGTCACACACTTGTTTACAATCGGGTTAAAGTCAGAAAATGAATATCTTCAAAGAATCTGTTTCTTACAGAGCATCGAAGGAAATCAAACTCATTTGCCGTGAAATCACTTATCAGTAAACTTCAAATACACACACTTAAGAATGGAAACTGAACGTACTCTCAGTTTGGCGAGGGTACCCTGCATATCTCTTGAGCAGACTGGAGAGGGAACAACATTCAGCGAAAGGAAAACAGTACATTCTATAGCCTTCCAGTTAGTTTACACTGCACTTGACTGTGACATCATCACAACAGCTGTCTTTTTTGTTCATACACGTTGGGGCTGAATTACGTTCTCACCACCACCTTGCTCGATCCCTTGCGACAAAATTCCATATACATAACACAAATAGCGATCCTTATAGGCGGATAAAATTGCACTGTAGAAGACATTACAATTTAATATTCTCATCAAAAGACCAAAATCTACTTAAGTGTTTTACTAAAACAGCTAGAATTGTTTATAAAAGCATCTCGGAGAAATTATCAGCTCACGCAGATGGAAGAATGAAACGAACATTTCGAGATATGAGTATGTACTGATTTAACTTATTTATTTACGCTTTGTTTAATGATGGTATCGCTTTAAGCGATAGAATAATTAATGAATAATGAGATGAAAAGAGTATGGAAGGAAGTGGTCAAGGCCTGATTTAAGGTACTTTCCCATAAAGATATCCGTCTTCTGGGTTATTG